CCACCCTACGTAAACTATAGAGACAAATAAAGTTTTAAACGGAAAATTGAACATCCTATTGACTTACTGACTAAGTACAATTACATTCCAAAATATAATCTAGACGATAATTGACACTTGTTACGAAGATTTGCGACGACGACTGTATCAATAACACACTGGTCCAAATTTTGGGTTTTGTCTATTTGCCGAATAAACGGTGAAGAAATTTGTTTCAGGGTAGTAGAATCGATAGACGCTACCCTAAGTTGTTTAGGACAAGGAATCTTTGGTTTCGAAGGGTTATAGAAGCAGGGTTTATTCCTAATTCCGCCCTTTAAATCCCATCCGCATTCAAGACAAACTTTCGATGCTACTGAGAATTTAAGGTACGAAACTCTTTTAAAATAATTAATTTATTTCAAAAGAACAGTAACTCTCTCGCGCTGGTTGCAAGTACAAAGCCGCACGACCAGAAAATTCCTCGGCTGCATCTGAGTGATTTTCCAAAAGGAAAATTGAGATCGGAAGAGAATTAAAAATTTTCTTCCTATCTCTCCAAATTCAGACGAAAGCATTAATAGACTATACAGAAAAATATTTTTCTTTATGACAGAAAGCATTAAATTGGACAGGTGTAATTACTTATTAGAATTGAAAATCGGATATTTAGAAACTCAAACAGCCCTAAACCTAGAAGAAGTGAGAGCCATCAATAGCAGGGTCACGCAGCTACAAACCTCAATCGCGCAACTAGAAATAGAAATGAGGAATCTAAGTCTAACAGAAAAATGAATGATAATACATCATCTCCTTACTATTCAACTAGAACCAAAATTACGAGGAGAATAAATGATCGAATTATCATTGACTTTTCAAAAATAAACAAGACTTTGTTAGCAGGCAAACTTTGCAAATAGAATTAGAAACTTTTTCTCTCGATTACTTCGAAGCAGCAATTAGCAGGAATAATTCGCGGGTGGCGACACAGCTCGCGAATTTTGACCATTGCCAAGCAACCTCTTCCCTACACCTTGATTAAGACTATTGTATATACTATTATATATATATATATTGTGTTAAGGTTAATTATACAAAACAAACATGTCTACGGGTGGTGGTAACGGGATCCCAAACCCTAACGGGTCCATACATGTGCAAGGAGAAGTGCCAAACGTAGGACCTCCCCCTCCACAATTAGACCACACTAACAATGTTGTCTCCGTACCTCGAGCAGATGTCCGTACAAACTAACTCGCAAAACATACCTCTTTTTGACGGCCGCCAGCCCCCTCTCAAAGATTTTCTGCAGGAAATAGAAAACAGTGCCGCGTTTATAGCCGAAGTGTCGGAGCCTGGTTTTCTCAAAGCCGTTCTGAGTAGATTAAGAGGCTCAGCGCGAGATAGTGTTCGTGGACTCCGTTTTGACGGAATAAATGAACTTACGGAGCACTTAAGAAAACGGTTTGCATCCTCGAAAAAGTACCAATGGTACTTAGACAATATAATGACGATTAGACTAAAGCAAACTGAAACGGTAAGCGACTACCATGACAGATTAAGAGGACTCATAAGCGGTGCACGACACGCGTTAGAACTTAAATATAACAAAACTTATCTCGAAGTTGTTCGAAATGAAGTCGGTGCTAACGAACGCGGACATGAAGTGTCCGAAAGCGAGATAATCATGCAGCCTGTAGTGGAAAACGTATTCCGCGCTTTCGTTAGGGGTCTGCCCGAGGAAATGTCCACGTTTGTCGACACGCGCAATCCCCGAAATCTCGATGAGGCTTTCGAACATGCCCTTTACGCGGAAGAACGCCGTAACTATAACGAAAGAACTAGGCCGTCCTCCTACCACATCACTCGAGCAGACGATAGAACTCGATCCCCTAGCCCGTACAGTCGTCAGGTAGAGGGGCAAGTGTCAATAGAAAAAAGAAAAAGTGATAGTGATAGGGAAAATAGTGGTCCTAGACCCAGCCAAAGCCAACCCAGCGGGGTAATGCAATTCACTCCGGAGCAATTGGCGGCATTCTACAAATCGATGATGCCGCCGTTTGCTCAACCAATGGCTTATGCGCCACCTATCCAACCCATACCGTATGCTGCACCTTACGCGCCGGTACAGCCCCAACAACAGTACCAACAATACAGGGCACCGACACAAGGCTATAGGCCGAGTATTACCCCACCTCGCTCAGCCTCGCCAGGCCCACAAGTAAATCCGAGTTTCCAAAAACCGGATTTAAACTTCCAACAGACTCGACGCTCCGACGCGGCCCCGAGTCCAACTCCCCAGCGTCAGAGGACCGTCCACTTTGCCCCGGACCAAGTTGGGTCCGTAGAGCAAAATTTAGGGGAGAGGATTCCCCAGTAGTTCAATTAGATGCACCTGAGTTCAAAGAAACAAAGGTGAACTTCCTAGTTGACCCCGGCTCTGACACAAATTTAATTAAAGCCAATATTTTGAAACCCGAGCTCACACTTGATCGAAGCAAGTGCACTGAGATTACGGGTATTACCAATCATTCGGTCCCAACATTGGGAACTGTCGAGGTTACAGTCCTCAATGTTCCGATCGAATTTCAAGTTGTAAAAAGTAGCTTCCCGATTTCTACATCTGGAATTCTGGGAAGACCGTTCTTGCGTCAGGAACAAGCTCAACTTTCCTTTAGACATAATGCTCTTGTAACCATTACAAATCCGGTGACTCCTATTCCGTTTGTGGACCGCGAATCACTGGAAGCTAGAGAAAAGTTGAGACCCCAAATTAAACCATTCGCAAGAATACTAAGAATTCAAGCTCGAACCAGAAAACCAATAGCGATCAATGTGCTCAACCCGGAGTTGAAAGAGGGCTATCTCCCGCGCATGCAGGCCCCAGGAGGTGTCTACCTGGGGGAAGCCCTAGTCTCGAGTAAAGATGGTGTATGCCATGCGATGGCCATTAACACCACCGAGGATGACATTGACTTACGATTGGAACCACAGAAGCTCATTCCATTTGACTTTTGTAAATTTCCCGGAGAAGAATTTTCTGATTCCGATTCCGAGAAATTGCAGAAGATCACGGACATGGGAATTTCTGATAGGGTCCGTAAAGTCAAGGAGTCCCTACATACCTCTCACTTGACTCCGGAGTGTAAAGAGATGGTAAATCGATGGGCGGAAGACTTTTCTGACATATTCCATCTTAATGGAGAAATGCTCACTTGTACGCACATGGTACAGCATAGAATTCCGACCATCGATGACCAAGTGATCCGAAAGAAACAATACAGGTCCCCTAATGAGGCTTTGGAGCAAATAGATGCGCAGCTCCTAAAGCAATTCAATAGCGGGATAATAGGTCATTCTAATTCCGATTATAATTCTCCACTACTAATCGTGCCGAAAAAACTCGACGCTTCAGGAGAAAAGAAGTGGAGGGTCGTAATCGATTACAGAGCCCTAAATGAAAAGGTAATTGGAGACGCATTTCCATTGCCAAATATTAGTGGAATATTCGATCGCTTGGGAAAAGCCAGGTTCTTTACCGTCTTTGATTTAGCAAGTGGGTTTCACCAAGTCGAAACACACCCCGATGACCGACACAAAACGGCGTTCTCTTCGAGAAACGGTCACTACGAGTATCATAGGATGCCCATGGGCATAAAGAACGCTCCTCCCACTTTTCAACGATTACTTAATAGTGTACTAAGTAACATGCTCGATACTGAGGCATTTGTCTATTTAGACGACATTATTATTTATTCGGACACACTTGAAGAGCATGATGTAAGAGCCCGGCGGCTTTTCACTAAGCTTCGGGAAGCAAATCTAAAACTTCAACCCGACAAGTGTGAGTTTTTGAAAACGGAAGTGGCGTACCTTGGGCACGTTATTAGTGGGAATGGCGTTAAACCTAACCCCAACAAAATCGAAGCCATTAAAAACTTCCCTAAACCTAAGACGCAAAAAGACATTAGAAGTTTCTTAGGGCTATCCGGATATTATCGTCGTTTTATCAAGGACTACGCTAAATTAGCTAAACCTCTATCGGAATTGTTAAAGAAGGACGTAAAGTGGGAATGGGGTGAATCACAGTGTAAAAGCTTTTTAAGACTAAGGAAATACTTGTGTCGCAAACCTATTCTGCAATATCCAGACTTCCAACAAGGATTTAAGTTAACCACTGACGCCTCAGAATATGCCGTAGGGGCAATGCTAACTCAAGAAGTAGACGGCATAGATTTACCTGTGAGCTACTTCTCAAAGGTCCTTAATAAAAACGAACTAAACTATCCCAAAGCTGAAAGAGAATGTTTGGCGGTATTACACGCTGTAGAACATTTTCGACCCTATCTGTATGGTCGAGAATTCACACTAGCGTGTGATTTTGAACCCATTCATTGGATGTCTTATATTGATAATCCAGGAGCAAGGCTCTCAAGATGGAGGCTGAGGCTCCAGGATTATCAATATAAGTTTGAGTATAAACCGGGTAAAATAAATCGAATTGTGCAGGCCCTATCGAACAATCCTGTAGAAGAGAAGGCGACCAAAAATGATCAGTGTTCTGACGCGAGTTCCGAATCGGACTGGACCGATTCGTCACTAGACAATGCTGCAGATACCGAAATCAATGTCCCTAAAAATGACTCTACTCAAAAACCCCCGCCACTCCGTGCATTGCCTATCAAGGACAGTAAAAAGGACAATAAAAAGGATAGTGCGGGAAAGGATCCTAAGAGTGTTAACCCCTCTCAACCCAGTTCTTCTTCCACAAGGCCTTATACCAGATCAACTTCCCAATCAGATAAAAAGACCATTTTAAAACCTAACCCAACTTTCAAATTACCTGGAGCTCCGTCAAAACCTCCCACAACAAAACCAGGACAGCCGGCAGCGAGCCTCCAGCCTAGAATTCCTACGCGAAGAGCGACAGCCCCTGGACCTTTGAATTTCAAGCCCACATCTATCCTAAAAGGACCAAAGGGAGCTGCATCAAGCAACCGACCCATGAGGATGAATGCTGACAACTTCCAACTCCCTGGTCCATCTTCAAGATCTGAACCTCCACCCCGACGACCGGGAAGACCTAAAGGCTCTACCCAGCCAAAGGAATCCGACGGAGAGGAGCCCTATCGGCCTCCGGCAGCAGTAAGCTCAATCGACCCTGATGTCAGCTGCATAGCCAAAAGATTGAGAAAAAGAACGACCTCTGCTGCCCAACCTTCAAAAGATTCAGCACTCTCCAGTTCTTCTTCGGACGAACGATTGTCCACCAGCGAAAGTGAAGAAGATTCGGACCCTCCAGTGTTTCGAAAAGACCATAGTGCCTTCCCCAGTGTTCCGATAAGCCCGACCCCGAAACAATCTTGTGCCACCGGAAGTGATCCCAATGTCTCCGAAACTTCAGCCCTCCTGTTTCCCTTGTCGAATGAACCCTACACAGACGTTTACGTAGATGGCGCGTGTGGAGATAATGGTGGAACGAGGCCCAGAGCAGGCATAGGAGTGTGGTTCGGACCTAACCACCCCCTTAATGTGTCGCGAAGATACGGAGGACGACAAACCAACAACGCCTCAGAAATCGAAGCGGCTACAGTGGCGATCCATCAGGCAAAGAAAGCTGGGATCAGAAAACTTAGAATTAAAACTGATTCCAAAGTTCTTGTCCAAGGCATAGAGGAATGGGTTCCAAAATGGCAAAAGAACGACTGGAAGACGAACGATAACAAACCCGTCAAAAACCAAAAAGCCTACGAACGATTGATAAAAGCCTTGAAACATGCTGATGTTATTTGGGAGCATGTACAAGGGCATGATGGTATTGAAGGTAATGAAAATGCAGATCGCCTTGCTAGAGATGGTGCACTCCTCGAGCCACCTTCAGAATCGAGCTCTTCTTCTGAATCATCTGCAGAAGAACCGGAAGAAGAACAAGCTCCAGAAAATATAGTGATCAGCGTTTTGCCACGTCCTATTAGCAGCGAAGAAAGTTCAGACTCCATCAACGATGAAGAGCAATGGAAACAGAATCACCCCTGCATTGACCTCGACAAATCAGTCCAAAAATTTGAGGAATTTCTGGCCAAAAGAAGTGTCAACCCATCGGACCTTACCAATCAAACCCTGGCTTGGGATCATGAAGGAATGGACACGACACGTCGGAAGCCACATGTCTCGGAAGGTGAGAGCGATGAAGAATATTTGGAGCTCCTGAAGGATTTAGATCCTTGTCAAGACTACAACGACAATGCTTTTGGAAAAAGAGTCAATGATTTTCTGAAAAATTACAACCAAAGTAGACAAAAGAAAAGAGAGGAAGAAGTAGAGCAACCTGTTGCCAAAGCAGATGTAACATCCCCTGGTCCTGAAGCAGCCACAGAAGTGTTCCCTTCTAGCCCAAATAGACCACCATCCAGAAGAAGTGTTGTGCGATTTAAAGAAATTCCTCAAGTCTTTGAAGACCCTGAGGAAGATGTATTTTTTTCAAAAAGTCCTTCAATCTCAACTCCAGGATTCCTGTCCGCTCCAGATGCACAGTCGACTCCATACACTCACCATCAAGAACGAGAAACCCCTGTTCTGGAAAAACCAACAAGAGAAAGAAAAGGAAACATTATGCCACGCCGATTACAATCACGAAGTTCCAACAGTGAAAATACAGTGAAGTGCGCGGCACCAATGAGCCCCTTTTTGAACTTAAAAATCCCCTATTGTGACCCCCCGACTCCATCCTCGGCGTCTGAAACGTCCGATGATGAAAAATCCACAAGTAGAGGACAACAATTAACAAACATTGATAATAAATGGACAGAACCACTGACTTACAAACGAGACAATTATGCCCATTTTATCTCAGAGGACTGTGAGCCTGTCGATTCCATTTCGAAACTGTTAATAGCTACGGAAAAGATAGACATGCAGGACATTCGAGACAGTAAACCCATAAAAGGACAAGTTCATCTTACCCTTTGTGGGAAATATAGGGTATATTCAATCGTAGTTAAAAAGCGGTATTCGGACGAGTTAGATTGGAGGGATGTTACCGAGGGTTTGAAAAATTTAAAGTACGCCCTCACGCTGGACAATCAAAATCACTGCCGTATGGCAAATTCTGGAGACCTCTTAGGTTCTCTCCCACAAAACAAAATGGCGGAACTAGTAGCAGGAATATTCCGCGGTGGCGATATAAAAATCACCTTGTGCCACGGAAGAATTCAAGTTCCTCCCTTAGAATTGCGACCCAAGATAATATCAGAATTCCACAGTAGCCTTGTAGGAGGTCATAAAGGCATTACGAAAACGTACCGTAGAATACGCGAACGATTCTACTGGCCGAGACTGCGAGACGAAGTTACAGAGTTTATTCGACAATGTAAAAGTTGTTTCGAGAATAAACTGGCTAGGGCCCGTACGAGAGAGCCTATGATCATAACAGACACACCGGCTATGCCTTTCGACAAAGTGTCTTTAGATACTGTAGGAAAACTTAGAACTACCCCCAATGGGAATCGGCACATTCTCACAATGCAAGATAACTTTAGTAAATATTGCATTGCCGTTCCCATTCCAGACATAAAAACCACCACCATCGCTCACGCAGTAGCGACAAACCTTTTTGCCACGTTTGGAGCACCCAGATGTGTACTCACAGACAGAGGCGGAAGTTTTGTGAGTTCCCTAATGCGGAAGCTTGAAGGAATATTTGGTGTCAAACAGCTTACAACTTCTGGCTATCGACCCCAAACCAATGGAGCTCTAGAAAGAAGCCACATTGAGTTGACAGACTACATTAAACACTACGCAAGGGATTTCGACGATTGGGATCGTCTGCTCCCATTTGCGATGTTTAATTATAACACGTCAATTCACGAGGCGACTGACTTCACTCCGTACGAGTTGGTTTTTGGTCATATAGCAAGAATCCCAAGTTCTTTTCCACAAGGGCCAGAACTTGAAACCTATGGGTCATACCTGAGAGATCTTGTCACCCGAATGACCGAGTTGCAAAATTTGGCGGCTGGAAGTCTAAGAAGGGCAAAATGTCGTTCTAAAGAATTCTATGATCGCAAGGCTCGATCATCGAATGTTAAGGTTGGAGACCAGGTATACACCTACAAGGAAGTAAGAACAAACAAATTTGACAACAGAGCAAGCGGTCCGTATACGGTTGTAGACATTACCCAGAATAATAATGTTATTCTGGAAAACGAGAATGGCGATAGGTTCGCCAAACATAAAGATAAGGTATTGGTTACCCATTTGTAACCAATACTTCGCTAACGTCAATATTAACATTTAATTCATTTTAGGAAAAAGGAAAATTATGATGAAAGGACCAACCGTTTTCCTCCTGATAGGCCTAACCTCTATCCTAGTTCCAGTGGCAATCTATGGATCCGACTCCTTTCCAAGGACTTCTGATGAGCAGCAGTTCCAAATTACCCCGTTGCCTGTTAGCAGTGGGATATATTATGAGCATCTTGGTACCGTAAGAAGATCCGTGACCAACTGGAGAGTGACCATCTTCCTGGACATAAGCCGGCAACATGGATACATCGACGACCTGAAGGCCCGATTGGAGAAATTGAAGAACTATTGCGCATCTGAAAAGAATTGGTGCCATGAATTTGTAGTCCATCACCCTTGGGAGGATAAATGGGAAATGGCTTCCGAACTGCAGGAGCAGTTCCAAACCCAAATCACCGAATTAGAAAACAACCGCAAACCTATTTTGAAAAAGATGACAGCTCAACTACGAATGAGGCGAAGCGTGCCCCTACTTGGATTCCTAGGAAAAATCGCTGGTCCCATCGCCGGTATTTTAAATTACGAAGATGGAGAGAGATACGATGCCATCATCCAGGAATTGAATTCTGCACAAGCCAATCTGTCTCACCTGGTTGGACGTCAAACCCACGTTGTGAGATCTCAGCTCGACACACTCCATACCCAAATCGAAAAACACAGCTCCCTAATAAATAAGATTAATCAAAACCTGGACCTGCTAATTAAAAATCAAGAAAATCAATCAGCAGTTAAAGTCGAGTTAGAAAAAAGGGACGCAATATTCAATCTACTGGGAGCATTGAAGACAGGGTTGGACCACAACATTCGAGTCACACAAACCATGCTGGAAGCAGTCCATACGGCCAGACAAGGAAAACTACACCCTGGACTGATTTCATCTAAGCAGCTGGAGCCCATCCTACGTGACGTCCAGGATCATCTTACCGAAGTACAGTTTCCCTTACCTGGACCCGCAGTCAGCATCGATGAATTGATACCGATCTCCACTGTCACCATCTTATGTGTCAATCGTCAATTAAAAATCCTAGTTGATATCCCTCTACTGGAAAAATATAACTACCAGGCATTGAAAATGCATTCCCTTCCAACTGTCCAGGAAGCAATAGGAAATAAAACAATAAGAGCTTATGTAAAGACCAAATATGACTATCTTATTATTGATGAAGAGCAGCACACCTATCTTCTACTCACGGAGCGAGACTGGAAATCCTGTAAATCAACAACATCATACCACGCTTGTTTGAACGGAATTCCTATCTACAATTTGAAGGAGAGACCAGCCTGTGAACCATCACTCTTAATTAATCCAACTATCGACAACCTAAGAACATGTGAGATTCGAATTACTGTTAATTCTGAGTCCTTCTGGAAGCCGTTAACCACCCTTTCCAGCTGGCTATACTCTTTTTCTAAGATGGAAGATGTATTGGTCATTTGTCATTCTATGACCCCTATCAAGATTAACCTTAATGGAACCGGTATCTTGAAATTGGCACCTGGCTGCATGGCAAGGACCCAGGATACAATAATCCCAGCAACCATTTCTCAGGTTGGACAAACAGAAATCATCTATGAACCCGACCTGCATCTGAATTTGACTAAATTATCCCCAGTAATTCTCAACTACGGTCACTTGTTAACCATGACCAATGACAACAATCAAAAGGAAGAAGTGGCTGATCCGAAATTTTCCACCTTCAGGATGAACTCCCAAACATTGGATGAGCTGGAACAACAACTGGAGGATCTTGCCATTAAAAGGCACATCGGAAAAAATCAAACAGTCCTTGTTTACTCATCTTATATAGGACTGTTGTTACTATGCATTCTCCTCATATTTTGTCTTTGTCAATTACGCACGAGAACAATAATCTCTAAATTGGTTGGTTTCTTGCCCAGAAAGTCAAAAAGGGGCCATATTGAAGTTTCAAGAAGAAGGAGAAGAAGAATCAGTCTACCCGAGGACAAAATAGTCGATACAGAGGAACCATCAACTTCAGAATTAACTCCAAAATCAAAGGAGTTATATTCTGTCATCGAGAGAGGAGAAAAGTCTGCTACGTCCGAAGATTTACCATCACCGAAGATCAGATGACTGACAACGCCCAGACCAAAACAACATCTCAAACAATTGCAGCAGGTCGAGAAGGCAGAACTGAGATATGCTCTTCGACCCACACAAATATCATTCCTCGCCTCACCGAAGACCACTGTGAAGATGCGGATTCAACTCCCAACACAGAAGCTTCAACCAGCGTAAAATTGTTATAATACGCAAGTAAAAAAAAAAACACCCCAAGAACGTTCCCTCTTGATCCAAAATGAAAAGGAGGAGAGCAAGAAAAATTTTATTATCTCTAATTTTGAGCTCGTTGAAGGTAATGATTTTCACTTCCTTACATTTCGTCGAATTGAAGTTTTTACTTCTGTTAACGTTCGTTATAATTCGGTTATAAAATCTAAGTTGATTAAGTAAATATGTTAATTGACTTGCTCTCCACCTCGCCGTTAGAAATGCCCCATATCCTTAAGTGATTAAGTTCGGATGGACAAAGGGAGAAAGGAGAGGCTTGGTGACCCAGTTAAAATTCAATAAATTGATTTTTTAGGAGCACCTCGATGTTTTAAATAATCGATATGCCCCGCCCACTTTCCCTCTCCTCTCTTTCTTTTCGTTTGTCTTGACTGTAAGATTGTGCTTTCTCAAAAGGAGGGAGAATAAAAGAAAAGGGAAACTTTTGTCTTTTGGTGCAAATCTATTTTTTAAAAAAAAAAAATCTGTTTTCTCCGTCCTTTTCTGAAAATGGTTTTACACACCACTCAATCAAACCTTTCTACGCTATGACAATGAATTGATATTGTCTCTATAAAAAAAAAGAGATCGCCTTTTGGTGCAAATCGATGTTTTAAAGGATCAGTTGTCTGTCCTTTTCTGAGAACAGTTTTATACATTTACTTAATTGATCCACCATCTTTCTACGCTATGACAATGAATCGATATTGTTTCTACCAAATAGAATGGAAATAGGAGAGAAAGGAGCTCCCTTTTTGGTGCAAATCAATGTTTTGAAGGGATCTGCTTTCTCCATCCTTTATTCAAAACAGTTTTATTGTTTCATAACCCCCATTTTACTATGACAATGAATTGATATTGTTCTGGTGAAAATAGGATGGAGCTAAAACCAAAAAAAGGGAAATATATATATATAATTTTTATTATTCACTCTTTAAGGCGAATATAATTTTCATCCCTCCTATTTTCACCATGCCCCTTGCGATCATCCTGTAATGATCTACAATTATAACTCCGTCAACATACATCAACAATGAAGATAAAACGGGACAAAACATAAACAATGAACCATATAATTTTCTAAAGCTACCTGACTTCTATAAAAATAATTTCCTTTCAGGAAATAACAATTTACTTAAAGAATTACAATATAATTAAAAATTTTACTTACGGTAGTTATTTCTTTTTGCCTCCCTAATGGATGAGTTTAACAAGACCCCTATTTTGCCTAAACTAAAACAAATTTAAAAAAAAAGACACAAATAAATATTCTATTAAAGATTTTAAAATTGATTAATTTAATGCCAATAAAACTTTTGCGCAAATTAAAAAAAAAAAAGAATGTCGTAAAATCAAACAAGGAGAGGTCTGTTTTTCCTGAAAATCATAAATCCTCATATGCACCCTAACTTCGATTCCATCACGGCTAGTTTTCGGGGACGAAAACGGAATATTCACGGTGGGTTGTTACGAAATAACTTAATTTTTTTTTTAACCTATGCACGATTGAAAATTGACACCTCTATCGCAAAGCATAAGCTAGTGTCAGCATCGCACCGGAAACGAAGTTGGGTTGGGTTCCACTATAACTAGGAACAGAAAAACTAGTTTATTTAAAAAGAAATTATGATTTTCAGGAATTATTTTTTTTTTACTACTAAAAGCTGCTTGAAGATGTCCTTGGATATCTCAATTATTCTAGTTTAATTATTATGGGCATTTATTTGTGGATATCCTTGAATATCCTAATTATTTGTTGGATTATTACCCGAATTTATCTATGGATATCCTTGGATTTCTCAATTATTTTAGTTTTATTATTACGAGCAATTATATGTGGATATCCTTGAACATCTTAATTATTTTTGTTTTAATATTGTATGTATTCACCTGGGAATATTCTTAGATATCCCAATTATTTTATTTAAGTATTATGCGCATTTATATATATCCTTGAATATCCTAATTATTTGGTTGAGCATTGTACGCAATTATCTATGGGAATATTCTTGGATATACCAATTATTTTATTTAATTATTACTTGAATTTATCTATGGATATCCTTGGATATCCCTTGTATTTTTACTTTAGGTATCATAGAGGTTACATATGGATATCCTGTGATATCCTGCATATTTTAGTTTGAATATCTTGGGATTACCATGGGATATCCTTGGATATCCCGTATGTTTTTACCTTGGGTGTCATGAAGATTGTATATGGGTATCCTGTGATATCCTGTATATTTTCAATTCGAATATATTGGTGTTTACCATGGGATATCCTTGGATGTCCCGTGTATCTTTACTTTAGGTTTCATAGAAGTTACATATGGATATCCTGTGATATCCTGCATATTTTTAGTTCAGATATCCTTGGATATTCTACATATTGCTGTTACTTTGTTGCATACACCCTAGAAGTAATTTTTTTTTATAAGGTAAAGTTGTAATTAAAAATTATAAGAAAGAAAATAATCATATGTATGTACGTCGCCTTTTAAACCTATACATCTTTGGGTGGCTATGGCAATACGCACGCATACACATGATTCCTTAAGACGGCACTAGCATAGCGGCACGCACACATGCATTCTACATGTAGTATAGGCCACTCACACATAGTTGGCCTCTACTCGTTGCTTCTTCTTCTTCGTTCCATCCT